AACCCTGAACCCAAAACCCTATGAACCCAAAACCCTATGAATCCAAAACCCTATGAACCCAAAACCCTATGAACCCAAAACCCTATGAACCCAAAACCCTATGAACCCAAAACCCTATAGACCCAAACCCTATGAACCCTTAACGCTAAAGAGGGCAGAGGTGCCAAGACCTTACAACAGAACGCGCGCCAACGGAAATTGTGCCACCTCGCAGCAACAAGAAATTTGAGTTTTTAGTTTAATTTAAGGCATGGGTTTAGGGCTAAGGGTTTAGATTCAGCAATCTACCGTATACTCGACAGGGGCTTAGGGCTCAACTGTCGCCTTCTTTTCTTGTCCAAACATTGACAAGGAGACATCTGAACTCTCAGCCCTAAACCCTATAAACTCTAAGCCCTGAACCCTATAGTTAAGCCCTAAACTCTATTAAACCCTATAGTCTTTCCTATTTTACTATATATATATATATTTACACATGTTAAACACAATTTGGGGTTCTTCAGCAAGTTGTAGAAAACTGGGGAACGGTCCAAAAAAAGGAGCCTAGAAAAACTAGAATAGGGTTTTGGGGGGGGTCATTCTAGTACACTTCCAAAGGGACCCTAAGGGAATAATCCCTAAACCCTAAACCCTAAACCACCTCCGGCTCGTAGGTCTCAGCCCGCAGGGAGCATGTGGCGTCCTTTTGAGCCCTAAACCCTAAACCCTAAACCCTAAGCCCTAAACCCTAAACCCTAAACCCTAAACCCTAAACCCTAAACCCTAAACCCTAAACCCTAAACCCTAAACCCTGCACTGATTTTTTAGGGCTAGTCAGGACTTAGCCGGTTGAATTCGGGGCCCACCAGCTGAGGAGTGCTGAAGAACAGTGCAGCAGGCTATCTAATATGGGGTTTAGGGTTTAGGGTTTTAGGGTTTAGGGTTTAGGGTTTAGGGTTTAGGGTTTAGGGTTTAGGGTTTAGGGTTTAGGGCTACAAGCTTAGGGGCCTTAATAATTCGAACAGGGTTTTGGAAGTTTGCATAGTACAATTAGGTACAAAGGGACCAGAAGGGAACACTATTAGTAATCATTCCGACCCTTATATTACATCGACTCCCTTGACGACACTTTCGGAACTTTTCTAGACCCAGGAGTAACCTAGGCATAACAAGGGTACTCTTTTAGTTTGAAGGGGATTATAAGGGAACCACAACCCTAACAAAAAGGAAGTACGTGCCTACTCCGGGTCCTAGCCGACGAATCTTTCGGAACGTTTCAAGCAAAAACAGCTTGAAGCACCCCTAGACGCTGAATATGAAACCCGGGGAGTGATGATCCCATAAGCGATGAAGTGCAAGAAGCCCTAAACCCTAAAACCCTAAACCCTAAACTTAAACCCATGAGTGATGTGCCCGCGAGTGATCCCACGAGTGATGAAGCACAAGTCCTTGATCTTGATTCCGGAATCCTTGACAGCCTCGATGGCTTTGTCCCTGAGCAAGCAACTGACATGCTGGGCTTCAGGGTTTAGGGTTTAGGGTTTAGGGTTTAGGGACCACAACACCCCTTCCTTGCTCTGTGGCAGGAGGTTCCAGGGACTCGGACGTCACGGCGGGCATAGGGAGTATCGGGAAACTCTTCTCTTGCTCTCCATTACTCTCACATCGAAGATCCGCTCAATTTCAGCCGTCCTGAAGCCCTAAAATCTGCAGCTGCTAGGAGGATCCGGGGACTTGGTCAGTCTCTTTTGAGTACAGTTTTTCAGACCCTAAACCCAAACCCCAATTCCGAAACCTCCAAGCGCTCCAGGCCTTGCGTCCTCTTTCATGAAGATGACGTAGGAAGTCGGTGCTGTCTCGAGGCTCTTCAGATGCTGCCTCATTTCGCTGTCTCGCCACGGCGCCCTAAACCCCAAACCCTAAACCCTAAACCCTAGTAGGCCGAAACCCTAAACCCTAAACCCTAGTAGGCCTACAGCCGAAACCCTAAATCCTAGTAGCCCTAAACCCTGAACCCCAAACCCCGAACCCAAGACCCCAAAGCACCCGAAACCCTAAATCCTAGTAACCCTAAACCCTAAACACCCAGTGGCTTGAGATCCTCCACCTCAAACTCGTGGCCGACGCCGTCGAGGTGGACGTGCCTAGGCGTTGGCTCGGTGGCTTCGGAAAGATGTGGGGGCATACGCGATAATAGGGCAGTGGGGTCTAGGGTTTAGGGTTGAGGGTTTAGGCTTTAGGGCCCCAATATAGACCCGCACATAGCAGGATCCCCTGATAATCGGGACCCCAATAAGGTACCCCGAATTTCGGAAACCCCCACGTGGGGCTTAGGGCTTAGCCAGATTGGGCTCAGGGTTTAGGGTTTAGGGCTTAGATTTTAAAACTTCGGGCTCAGTGTGTAGGGTTGAACCCTGCAATTAGGTTCAGGGTTTAGGGTTGACGGTTTTGGGTTTAGGGTTTAGGGATTAGGCTTAAGGCTTTAGACATATCAGAGTTTCGGAATGAGCCCTACATTGGGTTCAGGGCTTGGGGCTTGGGGTTCAGACCCTGTAGGCCCTATAAACCGATGAACCCCATAAATCATAGATCCACAGGGGGGCTTCCGAAAATAGTCGGTGCCCTTTTGGGGGGTCCCTTCCAGGGGATCCTGTTCTCTTTGGGGTATAGAAGGTACCCCGATTTTGGGAAATACTATAAAAATGCTCACGTCTGGAAGCAGCGCCCCGCCACAACCACCAGCGCCCAGAGTTGGAGCGGGCGGCTCGCTGGCGCGCCCGCTGTTTTTGGCGCTTGCTCAGCGCAGCAGATGGAGAGTCCAGCGAGGAACTCATAGTCCCTAAGAGTCCATGTACCTAAATAGTATATACTTGGGCCCTAAAGCTACTATATGGGAGCCCCTTTAAGGCCCAAGTATGTACTATATAGGTACATGGACCCTTAGGGAGTCTTGTGGAATTTTCCATGTTGAGTCAGCCTCTGCCCTTACCGGAATACCAGCCTGCTGCGGCCCAGTGCTTGCCGAGGACCACGTGTAGGTGCCGCAAGCAGCGGTGCGACACGGGGAGACCCTCCCTAAACTGGATTTTTAGGGTTTAGGGTTTAGGGTTTAGGGTTTAGGGTTCTTTAGCGTTGTGTGTTTCAGGGTGCCTGATGCTTTGGTGTAAGAGCAAGACATTGCGGGGTGCCCTAAGCCGGCCGCGAGAAGCGCGTGTTCCCAAAAGCGCCAACTACAAAAAGAAGCCAAAGCATGGGGAATACCCACATACCCTCGAAAACTCTAAACCCTAAACCCCAAACCCTACCAAGCCGGTGAGCCCAAAAACCGACAATCTCTAAGCGCCTAAACCCAAAAAAACCATACCCCAAAGTCCCTTCCCCCGGGACAAAACCCCTAAAACCCCTAAAACCCCTAAAACCCCTAAACCCTGCAAACCCTACCTACTTCCTCAAACCCTCCTCAAGACCCTGAACCCTAAAACCCAAAACCCTGTAAAACCTCTAAACACTGCATCACCCTACCCTAACAGCCCTAAACCACAAAGCCCCAAGCCCTATGAACCCAATAAACACTAAAAACCAAAACCCTGGGAGACCCAAAAGGTTGAAGCCCTCCAAACCCTAAACCCATACCCTGAAAACCCTACAAAGTACAACCTAATCCTCAAAACCCTCAAAACCCTCCAAACAAACCAAACTTACAAACCCCGTAAACCCTAAAACACCCCAAATCACACCTCCTAAAAACCTCAAACCCTCAAAACCCCAACACTCTTGGTAGCCTAGTAACCATACTAAATTCTAAGGTTTAGGTTTTAGGGTTTGGAGTAAGGGTACCCTTCTTGGGGTCGGTTACAGGGAATCTGGAACCCAAAAAGGGGCACCCTAAGCCTAAACCCTAAACCCTAAACCCCAAACCCTAAACCCTAAACCCTAAACTCCAAACCCTAAACCCTAAACCCTAAACCCTAAACCCTAAACCCTAAACCCTAGGCACCCCCTGGGCTACTTAGAGCTGCCAACCCGAGCCGCCACTTCTCCAGGACCAGCTTCGAGATCTTGCCGCAGCCAGCGAACTGAAGCGCTTAGGATTTAGGGTTTAAGGTCCAGGGAGGGTTCAGGGTTTAGGGTTTAGGGTTTAGGGTTTGGGGTTTAGGGTTTAGGGTTTGGGGTTTAGGGTGGCTTGGTGTATTTTAGGGCTTTGGGTGTTTTAGATGTTTTCTTGAAGCGTGCTTGTTAAGGCATGTAGGCTAGACAGGGTTTCAGGGTTCTAGGGGGTTTTAGGGTCTCAGGGCAGGGTGGCCTCTGTCCAGGCAGGCACCCACGGAGCCCCGTACCCCTTAATTGTCAGGGGGCTTAGGGTTTAGGGTTTAGGGTTTAGGGGTTGTTACATGGTCCCATTATATGGGCCCTGAAAAGGAGACCCCTGATACACCCTATACAAATTTAGGGCCTATACATCAGAACACTTTAAAGGAGGTAAGGGACCATATTTAGGGCCTTAAGGAATATCGAGGGCCTAGGGTTGAGGGTTTAGAGTTAAACTTCGTACGGAACCTTATTGTGGTCTAAGGTATATTCCTGAGTTGAGAGGTCTTGCGAGCTCGCAAATCGTATTCTGGCTGGGGGGGATTCTCCCGAACCCCTAAACCCCTAAACCCCTAAACCCCTACACCCCTACACCCCTAAACCCCTAAACCCCTAAACCCCTACACCCCCAAACCCAAAACCCACAAACCCCTACACCCCTACACCCCAAACCCTGCAGGGACGCGAACTCTGCTAGCCAAAAGCTCTTCAAAAAGGGAGCTCTTAGGTGGGGTGGCATATGAAAGGCTACTCCTTGAGGGGTCTATAAGGGCACTGAGGGGTCAGAAAGGGTCAGTTACCTATCAGGGGTATATTGGGGTTTTGGGCTTCCGACCTGAAATGGGCCTTGATGTAGGGTCTAAGGTCATGCATGGGGAAGGCTGTAAGGGATCGGAAACCCAAAGCAGCCCCTTTTCCTGAATTCCTCGTATTCAGACGAGATGCTTCGTCGCCGCTGCCCTCAGGGATTTCTTTTGGCTCGCCATTCTCGGCGTGAAAATCTGCGACCTCCGCAAAGTGAATCTTCGCAAGCAGCTGGGGGCAGGGAGCGGGGGCCGAGCGCTTAAGAGCCCTAAACCCCCAAAACCCCTTAACCCCGAGACTCCGAAACCCTTAAAACCCTAAACCCTAAACCTTAAACCCCTAGACTCCTAAACCCTTAAAACCCTAAACCCTAAACCCTAAACCCCTAGACTCCTAAACCCTTAAAAAACCCTAAACCGCACCAAGGTTCTCACATTTGGGTAGTTATAACCAGGGTTCTAAGTGCCCTAAGTCGACTAGAATTTAGAGTTACCATGCCGATAACCCTACTTAGAACTGCATGAACATCCAATCGCTGTTTACGGATCTTCCAAAAGCCTGATACGCCCACTCCAGGATTCTCCGCATACCCTAGACTAGATGGGCATTCAAACTATACTAGACCCAGGAGTAAGCTAGGAACAAAAAGGGTACCCTTTTTGGTTTAAAGGGGCTTATAACGGAGACCAAACCCTGAAAAAAAGAACAGGAATAAGGGCCTACTCTGGGATTCAAACTATAACTGTGAATTGAAACATTTCGTGAAGGCGTCTGGGGCCCCAATTTAGACAACTACCCATGTATTGGCTTCGATTGCGGTTTCAAGGTCTACTGCTGGGTCAACTGGATGTTTAAGCTGAATGCGCTGAGGGTGCCCGCGCATCGTGATATCCTATATCGCGCATGCCAGGCAAGACATGCGCGGCTTCACAACTTGCTTTGGGTGTTGGATGGCAGAAAATTCTGGAAACTTTGCTACCGAAGCCCAAACCCTATGTTCCTTGGTCCCTAAACCCTACACCCTGAGACCCTGTACACCCTAAACCCTAAAGCCCAAAGCCTAAACCCAGCACCTGCAACCATTCCCTGCCTCCTCGTCAATGAAGTGTCTCACCTGCCCAAGGGGTTCGGGGTTTACTGGGGTCGGTTTGAATGAAATCTAAACTTCCATATCCAATGGGAGCTATAGGGTAATATCTTATAGGGTTTAGGGTTTGGGGTTTAAGGTTAGGGTTTAAGGGCATCGTGGGCATGAAGAGCGATACTTATAAATCAGCCTCAGCTGGCGTGCATTTGAGACACGCTCCCGAACCTGAAGTTGTACCGTGCCCGACATTCAAAACCCTAAACTCGCTCGAATCTAAACCCTAAACCGTAAACCCTAAACCCAAGCCCTAGACCCTAAACCCTAAAGCTTAACCCTAAACCCTAAACCCTAAAATGCCATGAGCCTGGGAGATGTACTGGGAGAAGTCCCAGCCGACGGAGACGGCAATAACATCCTTGGCCACCTCTTCACCTTCTCAGAGACTCCAATAACCCTTACTTGAGGAATATTCCTTAACTTACAATAGGGTTTAGGGTTTAGGGCTTAGGGTGTAAAAGAGGGTTCCTTATATGGTTTAAGGGATATTCCTTGAATAAGGAGTATTGGAGTCTCTGGGCGATAAATTTCTGGAAGGTCCCCCCCAAATGTGCCAAAATGGCTTCATCAGCGACTATGACCATACCTCAAGACCACAACAGAACACTTCTGTACGTCAGGGAATGTTCCTTGTAAGCCCGTCGATGATTCAAGGAAGCTTGCCTAAGCCAGAGTACGTTGGAACTATACCCTATACCCTATACCCTATACCCTAAACCCTAAACCCTAAACCCTTAACCCTAAACCCTAAACCCTAAACCCTAAACCCTAAACCCTAAACCCTAAACCCTAAACCCTAGCCCTAAACCCTAAACCCTAAATCCTACACTCGGTGATTTTACTGGGCAAGGAGGTTCGGCTTGTGAAGTTCACGCCTGGGCCTGGAACTTCAAAACTCTTCTCGGCTACTCTAGAGCCCGCTGCCTCCCAGAAACCAAAAAGGTTTAGGGTTTAGGGTTCAGGGTTTAGGGTTTAGGGTTTAGGGTTATAAACATCCCATCCTATGGTTTCGGGTCTATTTCTGAATTAAGGACGATGCGCTCTCGGACAAGCTGAGGTCAGGACCAACCGCATCCTCCACGGCCTGGAACAACTCAGTCTATCTTTTGTAAGCCCCAAACGCTCTAAACCCTAAACCCTAAACCCTAAACCCTGCACCCTAAACCCTAAACCCCTTATAACCTCCATAATGAACCCCATTAAACCCTAAATCCTAAACCCGAAAGGTTCATTCCCGAATTGAAGGGGTGTAGGCTCCTCACCGGAGGTACGAAGAAACCAGCGTCAGGGCCCAAAGAAAGCCTTTAATTACCACAAAGTCCGGGGGGGGTTGGGGTGTTCAAGCGGGGTAATTCGCCCCAGGTTCCCTAGTACTCCCCAGTACTCTCCCCCCCTCCCCCCGCCCCACCCCCCTTAATCCCTGAAGGACCCTGTAACTTTACAAGGCTTTCAGAATCCCAAGAAAGCCTTGACAGGGGAAATACTTGGAGGTTCACGGGTATTCTTCAGTAGCGTTCAAGAACTCTGAGTACGGTTCTAGGTCAAGCTGCCATACATAATTCGAACCCTACCTGAAGCGCCCAAGTAGCCCCTTCCCAGGGTTTAGGGTTGGTTAGGGCCCCGACCCCTAAACCCCTCCTATATACATGGTAAGTCTACTTTTAACCCTAGTTAGCCTGTAACCCTCCTTAAAACTACAGTACCGACCAACCTCCAACAAGTAAGGTAACCCTAAACCAGAAAACCCCTAAACCCTAAACCCTAAGCCCTAAACCCTAACCCCTAAACCCTAAACCCAAAACCCCAAACCCTAAACCCCAAACCCTAAACCCTAAACCCTAAACCCTTGGCCATCCATTCCATGCTTCAGGCCTTCTTCAACAGATCCTCCGCGGGCTCCTCGCCCGAGATCTTTGGCACGCCCTGCTTTCCGCACGGGCTGAAGATTCGTACGGCTACGCGCGGTTTAGGGTTTAGGGTTTAGGGTTTAGGGTTTAGGGTTGTCAGGTAGACCCTAATTCTCTGAACCCTGACCCCTTCGTCTCAACTAAACATGTTTTGTTTTTTGGGGCGGGGGGTGAAAAGCAAATAAATAGAACATACTTCCTAAGGGAACGATGTTAGGCTTTTGGCTTCCCCCCTTTCGGGTTCAGGCTGTGAGGGTCTCTTGAAACCCTGAAGACCTAAACCCTCAACCCTTGACCCGAAAGGCCAAAACCTCGTTTTCGGCAACATGCGGCCGTCCAAGCCTCCAGCACCGCAACGTAGTCAGAGAGGGTGGCGCCTAGAGTAGCTGTTGTTTTTTGGACTTTTGGGTATTTAGGGGTTTAGGGTCAAAAGAAAGGGGTACCCCTACCAATCTAAACCCTAAACCCTAAACCCTGGCAACATGCGGAGCTCAGCTGACTTCAGCTTTGCCCTTGTGTGAGGATCAGTTTGTGGAACCCTACTTGGAAGTCCATGGGTTGAGGGTTTAGGGTTTGAGGTTTAGGGAGTGTTCAGCAGGGTTATAACTATGGGAACTATACGGTACTTATAACACAATTTATAGCATCTTATAACTCACCATGAACAACCAAGTAAGGAAACAATATCGTCACTGTACCTGCCCTATCCTGCACTTGTTCTTTAGGGATTCGGTCTCATTCTTTTGAAGTTCGTTGAGAAATTGGGATGTACCGGGTGCACGGGCAACCTGTCAGAGGGTTTGACGGACTTTGTGCCTTAGTTTAGAGGCCTCACTCATCATAAGGCCCCCTCACTCCTCTTTAAGTCCTAAACTCTAAACCCATAAAAGAGGCAGAAAAACATCTCTTGACCACGCCCTTTTGAGCTTCTGGCGGCGTGTGATCGTTCTACGACTGCCCCCCCCACTGGGATGGGCCGAGGGGGGGGCAGAAATCCATGCGTTCTCAAGCATTGGCAACCTGGCTGTCTCGAAACGACGGCTGTTGAGGACAAACCCTAAACCCTACACCCTAAACCCTAGACCCTAAACCCTAGTCTTTCACTGGATCTATGAGCACTGGTTTGGAGACGTGCCTCTCTCACCTTGCGGCCCTGACAGTCGCAACTGCGCAAGCAACACCGAGGAGTGCTTGCGTTCGGGAAGCTGAGGTGAAAATCATCAGAAGAACCATCAGGTGGAGGTGAGTTCCATCAAGATAATCATTTTGCAGGGTGCAGAACATGTGCCGAACCCTAGCCCTTGCACAGCCGTGCGAGCAGCAGCGCATCAGGCAAGCCTGCGTACATTGAATTCACGAAAGCTGCAAGACATTCTTAGACGTTCTCAGCAGCCACCGCGGCGAATGAAAGCCGGACTGGAGTCTCTGGCTTCGCAGGTGGCACTCGTCTTGGGCTTCCATGTGAGTCCCTTCCTGCTGGCCCCAGTGCTGGCGTCCCTCCCCCTCCTCCTGGGAGCATCGGCCGGCCGAGCCCGGATTTGACTCAAGGAGTTGGCGCGCCTTCCAGCCGTTTCCTTTGGGCTCGCTTCCTTGATGGCGATGGGAGGCATGACCGGTTTCTGCACCTCCGCATCCTTGCTGCACTTTCCCAGCCTAGGAGGGTCTGTATGACAAAACATGCCTTACATATCCTTAAATATGACCCTCTGAAGTCTGAAGCCCCGAAATAGGAAAAATATGTTAAACAAATCCAAACTATCATCCTCTTAACATCCCCCAAATAAGAGAAAACTCGTGTAACGGTAGTATCCCTAAACCCTACTTTGGAGTAGACCCTGGAGAAAAAGTGTCTACACCCTAAACCCTAACAACATCCCGCACCCAGGAAGCTGATCCGGTAGAAAGGCGTACATGTCCTCGAGGTCGGTGCCTTTGGGCCGCTTGCCGGCCGTTGCCTCCATCAAGGCCTGGGGTTTAGAAGCTTAGGGTTCAGGACTTAGGGTTTGGGGTTTAGGGTTCTAGGGTTCTAGGGTTTTAGGGTTTTATAAGGGTTTAGGGCTTGGGGTTTAGCTTTAAGGTTTAGGCCTTGCTGAAGATCACGTGGCTCGGGGGGCTCAGGGCCCGCGCCTTCCTGGCCTTGGCTGCCATCTTCTGCATGTACAAAGGCTTTGGGGTTTAGGGTTTAGGGTTCAGGGTTCAGGGTTTGGGGTTTAGGGTTTAGGGTAAGAATATGTTCCGAGAGCGAGTGAGAGAGAGATTGGGGAGAGAGAGAGAGAGACAGACGTATAAATAAGTAAGTAAATGAAAAATACTAAAGACAAAAATATGTACATGTATACACGTATATACATAACACAACTGTACATAATATGCATGTGGTCTAGCTCCGATATACTGCTTCCCAATTCCCCGGGCATCCGAAGGGCTGCTCCAAAAGCAGGCGGATCATCGGCATCCATCGCAAAGCACATGGGAGGCATCGCCATTGCTTCGGTTTGCCGAACTCCAGCTCCTACTTCAGCTGCGCAGCACCCAAACCAGAACAAGGGAATAGTACACCAAAGTAGCCCTAAACCCTAAACCCTAAACCCTAAACCCTAAAGTCGCTTGCTGCGAGCTGGAGCTATCCAACAGCAGGGGCCGAGACTGCTAGGAGAGGACCTTGCAAGCCCCGAAGAGCAGCCCCACATGACACGACTCCAAAGCACCAAAAAAGGATAAGAACGACCACTCCTAAAGTCGTGCATGATTCCCACCGAATCCTAAACCCTAAACCCTAGACCCTAAACCCTAAATACTAAACCCTGAACACTTAGCCCTAAACCGTTGCATCCAGTGCTTGTCGTGTCCCTTGCCAGTACTACAGGACATGGCACGTATTAACCAAGTATAACTGCACCTATAACTGTACTTATAACCATGTCAGGGCACTTAAGGCGCTTTTAAGTGGGTTATAAGTACAATTATAATTGGCTAGTAAGTATCCCTAAAACCCTAAACCCTAAACCCTAAACCCATGGGTACAGTTATACGTTTGTTAATAGGTACCATGAACCTCCAAGTAGAGCACATGGCAACCCCGGGTCGTCTATTGACTCTTTCAGTGAACGGCTGGTTTACAGGGCTTTGCAAGGTTTTAAAGGTTTGAAAGGGTTTAGGGTTTAGGGTTTAGGGGTCTGAAGTTGCTATAAGGGCTTAGAGTGTAGGGTTTAGGGTCTAAACCCTCCAGGATTCTGCGCCCACCTGGGAGTTAAGATGAACTTGCGAAAAGCGCCATGGCACGTTCGCTGTCATACTGGACGAAGTACTTTGCCATCATGACCCCATAGACCACAGCACCTGCCAGTGTTGATGTCTGGCATTGAAATCTAGGTTTAGGGTTTAGGGCTTAGGGGTTAGGGTTTAGGCTTTATGGTTTCAGTGATGCAACCTGATCTAACCTACGTGGGTGGAACCCTTTGGGGCACCTCAAGATATTAGTTCCACAGGCCAGCCCCGTATTATCATAAAGAACCCTCCAGCAGCCATAGGGTTTAGGGTTTAGGGTTTAGGGGTAAGGGTTAAGGGTTTAGGGTTTAGGGATGATGCTTCCGTAAACTCGAACCCCCCAACACCAGCGTAGTGCCCCGCTTGTTGGAATCCTAATTGCTGCAACAGGTGCATAAGAACAAGCTGCAGGAGACCTTTGAGAGTGAACATCATAGGGTCTAGGGTTTAGGGACAGAAGGGGAAGAATTCCTGCCATTCACTAAGTTGGCCTTGTAAAACCTTTGCGTCATATTCCTAAGCAAGACACACTTAGTATAGTAAGACCCATGCAGGCAAATTGCAAAATAGCAAGGGCCTACATAGTCAATCCACACACACACATATTAAACTTTCCTATGCCAGAATATGCCCCAGACCCTGAGGCCCTAACCGCAACCCTAAACCCTGATCGTTGTCAGCATCTCCAACGCAAATCCAAAACTGTCAATGCGTTGCAGACCCTAAAGCCTAAGCCCCTTGCTTCTTGCAGTTTCGGTTTTGAACCCTAAACCCCAAACCCAAAGCGCTTAACCCTAAACCCTAACCCCTAAACCCTTAACCTAACTGCAAATGCCAAGTTCAGCCCGGAACCGCATCCTTCCACCCTCTTGCGTCCCCCTCCCCAACCCCCCAAAACAACAAGGGTTTAGGGTTTAGGGTTTAGGCTTTAGGGTTTAGGGTTGGGGAAGCCACATGTGTAGTAGGGATTAGGGTTTGTCCCTTCATCTTCTAGGTTGGCACTGAGAACCCTCCAAGAAAAAACAAGCCGCAAATGTAAACTTCTTCAACCCAACAAGGGAAAACATGCACAACGACTCCAACACGCCATAGGGTTTTTGTCGGTTTTTTTGGCAGGGTTTGGGATTTAGGGCGTTGGGGTTTTTAGGATTCGGGGCAGTTTTTCCAAACCGGCTAGAACAGCCCTAAACCCTAAACCCTAAACCCTAACACCTGCAGTGCGAGAGGCCTATGGTACCCAGCAGGTAGGCACAGAGGATCCAAACGCACTTTGTCCAGACGAGTTCCATCCTCGGGTCTGTCGGAGTTTGTGGACTCTGAGGCTTTGACAGTTTTTGGGGGGTTTAGGGTTTAGGTTTAGGGTTTAGGGTTTAGGGTTTAGGGTTTAGGGTTTAGGGTTTAGGGTTTAGGGTTTAGGGTTTAGGGTTTAGGGTTTAGGGTTTAGGGTTTAGGGTTTAGGGGACCATATTAAGGGCCCATATAACTGCGCTTCGAGGTCTGAGGGCTTTGAGTTCTTAAAGTTTGAGGTTGGGATGCTCCCCCCTTGTACCAACAACTCCTTAATGGGGACTAGAGTACCCCCAATCATAATCCCTATAAAGTAGGGTTTAGGGGTTAGGGCTTAGGGTTTAGGATTTATGATTTAGGGTTGAGGGTTTATAGAAGGGGGAACATCACAAGATTGAGGGTTTGTTAGGGTTGATTGAGGGTGATTATGGCTCGAAGGGTTTAAGGGTTCAGGGTTATAAGAGTCCAAGGGCTTAGGGTTTAGGGTTTAGGGTTTAAGGTTTGTCCCCCCCCCCCCCCCCCCCCCCCCCGCCTATCACCCAGTGCAAAGCAGAGTTGCCAGGGCCAGGGCCCTGAACTGGGTGACATGCCCTAAACCCTAAACCCTAAACCCTAAACCCTAAACCCTAAACCCTAAACCCTAAACCCTAAACCCTAAACCCTAAACCCTAAACCCTAACCCTAAACCCTAAACCCTCAACCCTAAACCCTGCAGCAAAGCAGCTGCCTGTGGCGCCCCCAAAAGACAACCTGATGCTGCTGGGTTGACAGGAGGGGCCCGGATCGGCTTTGGGGCAGTGCTGCTGTTGTAACATCCAAAGGGTTTAGGGTTTAGGGTTTAGGGTTTAGGGTTTAGGGTTTAGGGTTTGGAGTTTAGGGTTTAGGGTTGAGGGGAAGTTTAGGGCTCCCACCAAATTGCAGAAAGGCTTTGTGCAAAGCAAGCTAGGAGCGGCAGCTCGGGTGTCAGAATCTGAATGGGCATGCCGCAAGAGGTCTTGGGATTGAGGGGTTGGAGCTTAGAATGTGTTTCCAGCGCAACTAGGTTCACTTAAAAAGGTCTTCGTCTACAACAAGTTGGCGTGCCTTTGCAAGTGAACCCAAAAACTACTGCGGGAATCATGCTCATCACCTAGTCAACCCCTGAATCGTAACCCGTATAAGGAGTGAAACATAATCAATAATCCAGCCCTTGAAAGGGGGGGAAAGTCGGCCTTAACCCTGAACCCTGAGCCCTGAACGCTGAACGCTGAACCCTGAACCCTAAACCCTAAAACTCCCTGCTTGCGTGCCTCACACAGCTGGCGCGGCGTGGTTGCTGCGCGGTTTCCGAGGATGAGCAGGTCCTTGCTAACCTGCCGGGTTTAGGGTTTAGGGTTTAGGGTAAACCCTTACGAAATCCTCGACCCTGAGCCCGAAACTCCAAACCCTCAAAATGCGAAGCTTCTCTTGGTGAGGTGCGGCAGAGCACTGGAAACCTAAACCGCAAGCCCTGAACTTAAACCCTAAACCCTGAACCCTAAACCCTAAACGCTAGGTTTTGGAGGTTGGAAGCACGAAAACTGAGGACGGGGCAAAGAGCACGAAACCGAACCAAAGGCCAAGCCTCAGACGCTGTTGGTTTGGGGTTTGATGGGAGGTTTGAGTTTTTTTCATGGGTGTGGCATATAGAGTGCTACTGCATAAACTCACTAATTAAGAGCTTTCAAAAAATCTGCAACTGAGAAGTTCCCCGCGTACCTACATACATACGTACGCACGTACGTGCGTACATACGTATGTATATGTATGTATATGCATGTATCTGTATGTATGTATGTATGTATGTGCGTATGCAGTGTGCATGTGCATAGGGTGCATGTATGTAGACCTGTACATATCGATACATGGTCAAAGCGCGTTTCGGGTCCGGCCGACCGTGAACGGGGATGTGCGTTTCAGGTCCGCCGTGCGTGGCCGCGGAGGTGCGTTTCAGGCTCTGCTGGACTGCGTTTCGTACAGGCCAAGGTGCGTTTCAGGTCCGGCACCACCAGAAAGACACAAGTCCGAAGCCCCTGAAGCCACCCGCTACAAGCCATCCTAAGCCCTGAACCCTAAACCCTAGACCCTCAACCGAAAACCCTAAACCGTAAACCCTAAACCCTAAACTCAAAACCCTAAACCCTAAACCTGAAACCCTAAACCCGAAACCCTAAACCCTAAAACCTAAACCCCAAACCCTAAAGCCTAAACCCTAAACCCCCTAAACCCTAAACCCTAAACCCTAAACCCTAAAACCTAAACCCTAAACCCTAAACCCGAAACCCTAAACCCGAAACCCTAAACCCTAAAACCTAAACCCGAAACCCTAAAGCCTAAACCCCCTAAACCTTACAACCTAAACCCTAAACCCTAAACCCTAAGCCCTAAACCCTAAACCGTAAACCCTAAGCCCTAAACCGTAAACCCTAAACCCTAAACCCTAAACCCCAAACCCGAAACCCTAAACCCGAAACCCCACACCCTAAAACCTAATCCCCAAACCCTAAACCCTAAACCATAAGTAGTGCGCCTGAAATGCACCATGTGTGCGTCTGAAATGCCCCCTGTGTGGTTCTGAATTGTCTCCCGTCTGGTTCCTGAGCACCGGACCTGAAATTGGTACCTGAAACGACCCTAGGTGCGTCAGAACCGTACAACACTCATCGATACATAGATCTATATGTATGCAACACATACACATCTGCATATACATACATATTCACATATGGATGTAGCGAAATAAACCCTAAACCCTAAACCCTAAACCCTAAACACTAATTTGTGTATATATGCATGTATATGTCAAACATGCTCCATCGAGCCTCGCTAGTCCAGCCAAGATGCACGAGGAAGCCCCAGATGAGCACGGCACCCTGACGTCTCGTAATGTAGGGGCCTTAAAAATTAGAATAGGGTTTAGGGTTTAGGGTTTAGGGTTTCGGGTTTCGGGTTTAGGGGTTAGGGTTTAGGGTATAGGGTTTTGGGGAATGTTATGGTTCATAGTATAGTTGTACAGAGGGGCTATTCCAACCCCCTTCAGGGGCTTTTCAAAAGCGTTGTATCAGGCACAGAAGGAACTCTTAACTTCGAGAGCTGTCCATATGCGATCTGCATGCCTTCTAAGCCCTAAACCCTCAACCCTAAACCCTAAACCCTAAACCCTAAACTTACTGTCCGTCACCTGGAAGCGGAAGAGCGCGGTCGTTCCAGGCCCCGCCACGTGCGCGGACATGAGGTTGGTGTCGAACCTATGTTGGAAGCTACTTAATTCGCGACCCTAATACCCCGTAAGTAGGGTTTAGGGTTTAGGGTTTGGGGTTCGGGGTTCGGGGTTTGGGGTTTGGGGTTTGGGGTTTAGGGTTTAGGGTTTAGGGTTTAAGGAATAGTCCTTAAAGCATGAGAGGGTTCATTATATGGTTTAAGGAATATTCCTTAAGCAAGGGGTATTGGAGTCTCCGGGTACTGCTCTCAGCGGAGTCAGGTTTTTTTTTGGGTGTTTTTTGGGGTTTTTGTTTGGGTATGTTTTTGGGTTTAGGGTTTAGGGTTTAGGGTTTAGGGGTTTGGGGTCTGGGGTTTAGGGTTTAATTAGGATTAGGTTTAGGGTATATTGTTAAGGGTTTTAAGGTTTTAGGGCTCTAGGGTTTTAGGGTTTTTGGGTTTTAGGGTCTTAGGGTCTTAGGGTTTAGGGTTTTAGGGATTTAGGGTTTTAGGATTTTAGGGATTTAGGGTTTTAGGAGTTTAGGGTTTTAGGGTTCTAGGGTTTTAGGGTTTTAGGGTTTTAGGGTTTTAGGGTTTAGGGTTTAGGGTTTAGGGTTTATAGGGTCTGATCCCAACATCTTCCATATGACGGATATGGCCACTTCTCAAAATTATGCTCCCTTTTTGGGTAGTGTAGATATTTTGGGGCCGCCTCATAAAAGTAACCCCAAAAGCAACCATCATTTGGAGAGGGTTTAGGGCGGCATTCCGCCGAAGGGGCTGGGGGGGGGGGGGGTTGGTGTGAGACCAACATAAGACTCGCTTTAAGTCTCGCCAGTATCCTCTTTAGCCCCCCACTAGAAGTTTAACTTCTAGCTCCCGTAATATGAAATTAGAGGAACCCCAAAACTCATAAGGTGCTAAAGTTATAGTAAAGTCTCACCTAGACAAGAATGCCGCCAGTGCGGATATGAGGCGGGTAAGGCTGGCCCTCGTCTCCATGGTGGTCCTGCTTTCTCAACCCCTGAACCCTAAACCCTAAACCCTGAACCACAGGGCTTGCTTACGCCACTGGACCGAGTTTGTGGCCATGGCCAGCGTGGCTTCAGAGTTCAAGCACAAACCCTAGCACCCTAGCACCCTAACACCCTAACACCCTAACACCCGAACACCCCAACACCCCAACACCCAAACACCCTAACACCCAAACACCCTAAATCCTAAAGTCCAAAACCCTGGCTTCTCATCCCTGGTCTCTTTGCCTGGGTGACCATCATTCGCATCTGGCTCGCTTGAGCATACCTGGCAAAAAAACTAGTAGTTGCTTAAGAAAATGTTCTTCCTTATAAGGGTAATATGGGGATTATCGTCTTTTATTCTTTTGGGGTCTTAAGCAAGTAAGTAGTTGCTTAAGAACCCCCCCCCAAAAAAAACAACAAACATGTTCTTCCTTATAAGGGTTATCTGGGGATTATGATCAAAACTAGTAGTTATGAGGGCAATATAGGGATTATTACCTTTTAGTCTTTTCGGGGTTAAATGTTCTTCCTGAATAGTAGTAGAAAAGAGGGCCGAAACCAGGGCTTTGGGATCCCCCTGGGACTCGCCTGTGCCTACACAATGAAGAGCAGCTCGGCCATGCGAGTGAAAGTGAAGCCACACCCGACAACAAACCTAAACCCTAAACCCTAAACCCTAGGCCCTAAACCCTAAACCCTAGGCCCTAAACCCTACACCCTAAACCCCAAATCTTAAACCCTAAACCCTAAACCAATCGTGAGCCTAAGCACATCTGAGGGTGGGGTTGATATAAACAACGGGCCCTGTCAGGTATTCAGGAAATCATCAACTCAAAACCAAAACTACCCTAAGCCCTGTGCCCAAGATACCCGTTCAAACCCTAAACCCTAAACTAAACTAACCCTAAGCCCTAAACCCTGAACCCTAAACCCTAAACCCTAAAACCCAAAACCCTAGGGTAAGAGAAGAGTCCGGCTAGGCTGCTTGAGACCGTCCGGGTTGACGGTGCTCTTCATGGCCAGGCTCGTGTACCAGGCCCTGTTCGATGCTAGGGGTTGAGAGCTTTATTTTTTTGGGGTTTAGGATTTAGGGTTTAGGGTTTAGGGTGAGGGATTTAGGGTTTTCGTGCTTTTTGGCTTACTGGCTTTTGGGGCTTGTAGAGCTTCAGAAAATCAGGGTTTTAGGGGTTTTAGGGTTTGGGGGTTGATGTTTCCTTAAACCCCTGACCCCAAACCTTAAACCCTAAACCCAAAAACCGTAAACCCAAAAAACCTAAACCCTAAAACCCTAAACCCCCTAAACCCTCAAACCCTTCTCAACCTCAAGACTCAGGCAGCTTGCATCTTGCGCTCCAAGGCACGCCCCCAAAAGCCCTCCCACGACGCCAACCGCGGCCAGCGCCAGAAAGACGTCGTCGCCGTGGCTGACGCACTCCTGGCGCTGTTCGAGCCCTCGCCTTTTGTGCGCGTGAGAGTGGGGGGTAGGGCATTGTAGGGTGTGAGATGCCCACAACCCAAAAACCACACCCAAAAACCAAAACCCCCCCCAAAAAAAACAAAATCCTAGTCTCAACAGCCTCTTGCCTGCCTGAACACCAGCTCTTCCCTTGACAAAGACTCACTTGAGGGAGGGGGTGTTCATGGGGGGTAGGTTCCTTGGGAATCTGAAGCTCAGGGAGCCTCAGCGAGTAGGGAGTATTAGGGGGCCTTGGGTTGCATACCCAATGAACCCCCCCCTCCCTTAAGAACGAAATATATAATCACTCGCAAGGCTCCTTCTTGTCTTCCGACCTGGCAGGCATATGGGGGGCTTCCCCAGATTGGAGCGGTAACCCTATTCAGGTCCTTGAATGTCGGTAAGACTCTGCGAGAAAAATCAAAAACGCTTAAGCTCCGGAAAAGGGTTCAGCGCGATGCAGCCAAAGCACAAAGTGTATCCTGTCATGCACTGCTCGCAGTGCTCCACCTAGGTGCACACCGTCATCTCTTGAAAACCCGCCATTTCCCTGGCCACTGCATATACTCTCGACTGTCTCGCTAAGGCTTGCAAGCTCTGCCTAAACCCTAAACCCTAAACCCTAAACCCTAGACCCTAAACCCTAAACCCTAAACCCTAAACCCTAAACCCTGATCATGGTATTGTCCTCCGCTTAAGTGGTCTGAGGGGCAACGGAGGGTTCAGGTGTTTTAGCTTGTTAGGGTAGGGTTGATGGCTCCCAGGTAAGAAAATCAAACCCTAAACCCTAAACTCCAAACCCCAAACCCTCCGTCCGACAGGGGGCCGCTTCGTCCTCCTCACCAGGCTTCGAGGAAGTGCATCGGGCGCAAGCTTCCACTTCGCAGTACCGGCAGTAGGGGTTCCTCGGCTTAGGGTTTAGGGTTTAGGGTTTAGGGTTTAGGGTTTAGGGTTTAGGGTTTAGGGTTTAGGGTTTAGGGGTTCCTGGGCGTTCTCAGAAGCTACCCTGACTCAAGGAAGACTCCCTTGATCGCATTAGGATCCTTAGTACAAGCTAGGAATAGTACATAAGCCCTACACGTAACCCTGAACCCTAAACCCTAAACCCTAAACCCTGGATCCAAGCATCTCTTTCACCTTCTCCTTCTCCGGGATGGTCTGGTTAGGAATGGTTCCTTTGGTTCCGCACTCCTGCACTGGGTATTGTAGGATTCTTAAAGGAGTGGGGTGTAGGGTTTAGGGTTTAGGGTTCAGGGTTTAGGGTTTAGGGGTACCTCGGGAAGTGTAGGGAAGCTTAGGGAGCCTTAGGGAGTAAAATAGAGAGTATTAGAGTTCCCTTGGGCTAATTACCCCCCTTGCTTTCCCCCTCCCTTAAGAACCCGATAAGGGTCGGTCTCTAAATGTGGGTTTAGGGTTTAGGGTTTAGGGTTTAGGGTTTAGGGTGTTTGGGGATCCTTTTATTTGTAGAGCTGGGCTAAGCCCCTGACTCCAACAGGTCTCTAGGGGCTTTAAAGAGCGCGCCTCCGGCTTGACGCACTTGAAGTGGCAGTACCTGCAACGGAGGGGCTTTTGGGGGTTAGGGTTTAGGGCTTTAAGTCTCTAAAACCGATAAACCCTAAACCCTAAACCCTAAACCTTAAACCCTAAACCCTAAACCTTAAACCTTAAACCTTAAACCTTAAACATAGGCTCGGGGTTTTGGGGCTGAGGTAGGGATGTAGTGTCCCTGACGATCACGGCTTCTGCGGACATCCCTTTGCCCAAGTTCAAGTTGCGCGCACACTATGAAAACCCACCCCAAACCCCCTAAACCCTGAACCTAAACCCTAAACCCAAAACCCTGAACCCTAAACCCTAAGCCCTCAAAGCCCTCCAAGACCGAACTTCCCAAATACCGCCAAGCTCTACCCTGAGCCCTGACTTCTGAAATACGTAGGCTTTGGATGGTACTTAATTATGCTTGTAACCCTATTTAGGGTACTAATAACCCGACTTTTAACTACCGATGAACCTCCAACCTTAAACCCTAAACCCTAATTAAACCCTAAACCCGAAACCCTAAACCCTAAACCCTAAACCCTACTCATAACTATCCATGAACCTCCAAGTAGGCCCCACACCACCCCCGCCAAGATTGAGGCCGCAGGCTCTTTTGGGTTGTTGATCTCGGCGCTGAAGGGGCAGTTCTTGGGACAGGCCTGCGCTTTTGTTTGTGATTTTTGTTTGGGGGGGGGGGGGGGGGGGGGGGGGGGGGGGGGGGGGGGGGGGGGGGGGGGGAGGTGGGGGGGTTTAGAGTCTACAGGGTTTTTGGGCCACAGGGACTTTGGGGATTTGGCTGCGGACCTTGAAAGCCATCCGCCGTGAACCTGCCCAAAGAGTACAATACTTCTTGATCAAGGAATAGGCCTTAAGCATAATGGGGGGCCCCTACTAGGATTTAAGGTCTACTCCTTAATTAAAGGGTATTGGGCTCGTTGGGTACCTGAGAGTCTGAGAGCACCCTAAGGAATCGTGTTGAGTTGGAGTCTGGGTAGGGTTTAGAGCCCGATACTCCTTAATCAAACAGCAAGCACAAGGATAGCCAATGGAGCTCTTATGGGCTGGGCAAGGGGACTGCACGCGGGCCCAGCATAAGGGACCCTAGGGGCTTTGCAAAAAAGAAGGGGAGGGGGCTTAGTAGGTATATAGGGAGTGTATATGGTCAAGGGTCATTTCGAGTGCTCACTTAAAGCCGTAAACCTGAGGCTGCTCCAGTTGGGTGTTAATAGTATGACTTTTGTGTAGACATATACAGCGAGAACGACATCATCTCATAAATACAAGGAAATTCTTGACAGTAAGAATTTTCTACAGTGAGAATACGTTACAACAACCTGATCCCGAAACCCTCGAAAGCATGTTGGTGGCCGCCCTCTGCAGCCCAAACCCTAAACCCAAAACCCTAATTAAAACCCTAACAACCTAACACCCGAACACCTAACACCCTAACACCCTAAAACCCTAAGACCCTAAAACCCTAAAACCCTAAAACCCTAAAACCCGAAAACCGGGGGGCCGATTCACTCTTAAAGCCGTCACATGGTCCCTGAGCATGGGCCCTGAAACGGGGGACCCCTTATACCCTATACAGACTAAGGGCCCATGCAACAGAGGTCAGGGACCATATGACTAAGGGCCCATGCAACTACCCCAAACCCTAAACCCTAAACCCTAAACCCTAAACCCTAAACCCTAAACCCTAAACCCCAAACCCCAAACCCTAAACCCTAAACCCTAAACCCCAAACCCTAAACCCTGCCTCCTGCGGGTTGGCAGGAGCCTGCGCTTCCATGAAAAGTCTAGCTGGGTGGGTGTCCATGGTAGGCTTAGGGCTTAGGGTCTAGGGTCTTAGGGTTTAGGGTTTAGGGTTTAGGGTTTAGGGTTTAGGGTTTAGGGTTTAGGGTTTAGGGTTTAGGGTCTACTTGGTTGCTGAGTTCAGAAGCACCGAAAAAGTGTAAACTTTCAGTTCGATATCCCAAAAAGTGTAAAGGGTACTCATTCAGCTACTAAGTAAGAACCCCAAAAGAAAAATCAATCATCCCTATATTTTCCTTATGAGGAAGATTCTTCTTATTTTTGGGGGGTTCTTAAGCAACTACTAGAGGTTCAAAGGAAACCCCAAATTATAGGATTTAGGGTTAGGGTGAATTCTCGGGTTTAGGGTTAGGGTGTGGAGTTTAGGGTTTAGGGCTTCCGAAAAAAATGGGGGGGGTTCAGCCAGCTTTACTCATGGGGGGGGGGGGGGGTTTAGGGCTACTTGGAGGTTCATGGGTAGCTACAAGTAGGGCGATAAGTACAGTACCCTGAAGAGGGTTATACGTGCCCAAATGAATCCCCAAGTAGGACTTCCATGGAGGGGCACCTCAGGGGAAAGTCGAGTTCTAAGGGCCCTCCCTAAAATTGGGCAAGAAAATTCTGGTTCTGAACCTGAAGCCCACAAGCTTCTATACGCCCCTTCAGTTCGTTAGTTAGCAGGGCTCCGAGAAGGGCTTTGGGCCGATCTTGATTTTGGGCCCTTCCAGGGTATCTAGTGTCTAATCTAGTAGGTTAATTTTCCTTACAGCTTAGGAAACCGAAACCAGGGTTTTGGGTTAGGGTTTAGGGTTTAGGGTTTAGGGTTTAGGGTTTAGGGTTTAGGGTTTAGGGTTTAGGGTTTAGGGTTTAGGGTTTAGGGTTTAGGGTTCAAGGTTTAGGGTTTTGGGTTACCCCCCCATGTCAGAAAGAGGGCGGATCCCCTAAACCCCTAAACCCCTAAACCCCTACACCCTAAACCCTAAACCCCAAACCCTTACACCCTAAACCCCTAAACCCTAACCCCTCAAACCCTCAAACCCTAAACCCCAAACCCCTAAACCCAAAACCCCAAACCCCTAACCCCTCAAACCCTAAACCCTGAACCCTAAACCCCGAACCCTAAACCCTAAACCCGAAACCCTTGCCCCCGACAGCCTAAACCCTAAACCCCTAAACCCCAAAACCCCTAAACCCAAAACCCTGAACCCTAACCCCTAACCCCGAAACCCTAAACCCTAAACCCTGAACCCTAAACCCTGAACCCTAACCCCTAAACCCTAAACCCTAAACCCAACTTTCTGCACTGTTTGGAGCAGACCTCGCCTTCAAATCCGCCTCGCACTCGTCGGTGAGGACCTGGCGCAGACTTCCCCAGCCCAAAGAGCTCACGGCTCCTCCATAAAGGGTTTAGGAGTTAGGGTGCAGGGGTTCAGGGTCCAGGGGTCCAGGGTTTAGGGTTAGGGGTTAGGGGTTTAGGGTTGGGGGTTTAGGGTTGGGGGTTTAGGGTTCAGGGTTTAGGGTTAGGGGCTTAGGGTTTGGGGTTTAGGGTTTGGCGTCTAGGGTTATAGGTATATGGGGTTATGAAGTTGTAGGGATATGGGGCTATAGGCTTGTAGGGTTACCGGGTTTGGGTTCTTGGGTTCCTCATGGGGAAGTTCAGGGTTTATAGGGTTTGGGGTTTAGGGCTTTGCGGCCCCGTGGGAATTTCGGACTTCACTCAAAGAGCACATAAGGATTCTTAGCGTGATTTTAGCCATGCTCCTTAGTGGGGGACGCTGGGTACAGCCTTGGTCCCCAAACCCTGAACGTTGCTATACAATAAGATACTGCAAACCCCATCCCCCAAAAAACTGCACAGGGCGGCCCAGGCCTACGGAGGCAAAAGAGCGCTCAAAGATTTTGGGATCCAGGGCCTATCTCCCCTAGTGAAATGGGGTTTTGGGTTGTGGGCCCAATAAATGCGGAACATACCTCAGTTCAGTATCAAGACCCAGTCTAGATAGAAAGAGGTCGATTCCTAAATCAAACGCATTGGGGCTTCTTGGGCCTAAGCGAAAGAACACTAAGCGCACATGCACATCTCCTTGTTCCAACGAAACCATAATACGATATAATACTAGTCCATCTCATAGAAAAGAGAGCATGTGCCTATATATATATATAGGTATATACATTAGCTACCCCCCATTGTACCCATATGTGTATGTGTATATATATATATGCACATAAATGTGTCACATATATATGTATATGTGTGTATGTATATATATATATAATACATGCATACATGCATACATGCATACATGCATACATGCATACATGCATACATGCATACATGCATACGTGCATACATGCATACATACATACATACATACATACATACATACATACATACATATGTAAAACATCTATCTATATATATATGTATATATATATATGCAACACATAATACATGACATGATGAAACTCCCTGAAGCATGCCAACGGCTGGGCGCCCACCTGGGCGTAGCGGTGCTGCTGGTGCTGCATTGCTCGGTGGCTGTGGTCCTCGTGCATGGCCTGTCTTCGAGGCTTTTTTGTCTTTCATGGTACACAAAGAGCCCTAAAAACCTCTGAATTATAAGGAATAGACCCTAAAGAGCCCTAAAAACCCGGAATGAAGGAATAGACCCTAAATTAGTTTAAGGGACAGACGAAGGATCCTTGTATAGTTTCAGGGATATTCCTGCGGGGTCTTGGGCTCTCTGGGGTGGCAGGGCATGTAGAACTTTAGGGTTTAGGGTTTAGGGTTTAGGTTTACGGTCAGACTCGACCTCCTGAAGAATCTCCCGAGCGCATGCCCGCATCCAATGCCGCCAAGCCACGAGTTCCTCCAGCTCTTCATCTCCTCTCAGGTTTTGATTTAGGGTTTGGGGTTTAGGGTTTAGGGTTTAGGGCTTGGGATCTGGGGTTTGGGGTTTAGGGTTTACGGTTTAGGCTACCAAAGCCAACTTTTGGGGTGCAAAGTCTAAACCCTAATCCCTAACCCTGAACTATGTATACTTTGGATTACTGGGAGCTTCTGGGTACATCACGTGTAATCGTGTAGTCTTACGATGACGACTGTACACAGTATGTTTGAGGCGCATGTGCAGCACTTGAGGCAAGGAGCTCCTCTCACCCAGCAGCCTCTTTTTGCACGCAACGGGTCTGGGAGTCTCGTTGTTTGCAAAACAGTACAAAGACTGGCTCAATCCATACGTGAGAACTAGGGTACACGCCCGTTGTTGCTCGCGTGCTCAGTAGTCTGCCTTGAGTCCTTGCATGACCCGCCTGAATCTGTGGACACAGCAACCATACCGACTGTCCCGACTGTCGCCCCACCCACGGCGCCATAGGTTGCTGCTGTGGAGGTCATGGCTGCAGACTGCAGCATGGCGAAAGACGATCCTGAAGCGACGACACCGATGCTCGATTGCCAGGCAGCGGCTGCAGAACCTGCAGCGATCCCGCTCGAGGTAAATCCTGCTGCGCTCAGGGCAGCAGGCGCACCCAACCATCCAGCTGCAGCTCCAATAAGCGGCCAAATGGCACTTGCAGGCTGTGCCATGAAGCAAAGGACCATGGCCAACGAAGCGCGCATCATTCGAGCTTGTCTGCCGCTCAATGAAACAGAGGGCAAAAGTACCAGTAGGATGTGCAGTTTCACTGCTGGGTTTACTGACTGGTTCGAGCCCGCAACGACAACTTGCAGTTGCCAACCATCAACAAGGAATGTGCGGGTCTGGGGTGCAGGGGTTGGGGGCTTTGGGTGAAAGGGTGAGGAGCTTAGGGGTTTCATTTTATTGGCTTAGGGTTTAGGAGTTAAAGGCTTAATGGTTCAGGGCTTGAGGGTTCAGAAGCTCCGAAACTGCAAAGTTGTGGACAGAGTTTCCTTGCCAGCAAAAGGCAAGTGCAAGCGCAGATTCAATAGGAAGAGAATTGGCAACAACGAAAAGCTTGTAATCACGAGTTTTGGTTAGCATGATGCTCTGACTCTTCAGATTCTTCTTCTAATGATGCCTATTATGATAGTTTTGATCATTTTGAGTATCATTCTGACTGTTATGACTTTCTGGGTATTCAGCTTTGCAAAAAAAATAATGGCTCATTATCATTGCTATACTCCCCTTAAAACCTTAATACGCAATAATATGTTTAATAGCCTCTTGGCCTTAATATAAACAGAAATAAATATAATTCCCAGGGGTATATAGATATAGATTATGATTCCTCGTATTCAGTCGAGGGTCTGGCATTCGGCCGGACGGCCGCTGTTAGCCACAAGCACCAGAAGACGAGCAAGCACCTGGGTCTAGGAAGTTGCCCTAAACCCTAAACCCTAAACCCTAAACCCTAAACCCTAAACCCTGAACCCTGAACCCTAAACCCTAAACCCTAAACCCTAAACCCTAAACCCCAAACCCTAAACCCTAAACCCATGCAAGTGCCTCTTGCAGCGGGGTTACCGAACCATCGGGGCGCAGCGTGCTGAAATGGAGATGTCGGGCAATTCGTCAGACCTTGGCTCTGGAGCAGCCGCCGTGTGCCATGGGTAGTTCTCGAAGTTAGGGTTTAGGGTTTAGGGTTTAGGGATTAGGGTTTTAGGGTTTAGGGTTTAGGGTTTAGGGTTTAGGGTTTAGGGGTTTAGGGTTTAGGGTTTAGGGGTTAGGGTTTAGGGCTTAGGGCTTAGGTCTTAGGGTTTACGGGGTGGGACGGGGGGGGGGGGGTTCCCTGCTTGGGGGTCCGGCTACCCAAAAAGGGAACACAATTTGGAGAGCCACCCATCTGTCAGGGATGTTGTGTGCGGTTAAGGTTTCGATTTGCCCTCCCCACGGTTCGTGGTGGGTTCAGGTTTCAGGGCTTAGGGTTCAGGCCCTCTTGCGGTTCGTGGTGCTTTTCGGGTTGATCAGAGTTTGGGGTGTTTGGGGGTGGGGGAGGGGGGGCCGGGGGGGGGGGGCCCGGAAAGGGCCCGGGGGGGGGCCCGGGGGGGCCCGGGGGGGCCCGGGGGCGGGGGGGGCCGGGGGGGGGGGGCTGGATTTTAGGCCTTGGGATTGGTAGCTGTTAGAGTGCTGTAGTAGACTAGCCGTCCTACACTGCACTGCAAGCAATCTACAGCAATGGCAGTGCAAGGGACAGAGGCTGAGACAGTGTCCCAACTTGGCCCTAAGTGCTAAACCCTAAACCCTGAACGATGCAATGCTGTACAGGGCCCCTGGTGCCATGGTTTAGGGTTTAGGGTTTAGGGTTTAGGTTTATCAGGTTGTGAATCTCATCAGTCGGCTCACGAAAAGGGATGGCCCTTAAGTCAAGCAGCTGAAGAAACTGGCGGCGCGATGCGGCATGAGATCCTACATCGCAGGGCTTCCTTGAACCCAGAAGCCTGCGCATCCGCCGACTTGGATCTTGCAAGCTTGCCGGCTTTTTGCAGAACCCCCATAATACCCTGCTTGGGGGTTCCTGGTACTTGTGGTTATAACTGTACTTATGTCCACTTGTAAGCGCCCCTTAAGTGCACCAATATGGTTAGAAGTAAGTACAGTTATAAGTGCAGTTATAACTGGTTCATGAGTACCATGAACCTCCAAGCAGACCCTAGTCCCTGAAGCCTAGCCCCATCACACGCAAAAGAGAGCCTGGCATGATCTTTCTCAGGGTAGTTTCAGGGGTCCCTTAGTATGGGCCCTTAGAAGGGGGCTCCTTATATACCCCCAAGATACCCCATAAAACGCAAGGGCCCATACTTCAGAACCCTTTAAAGAGGGTAAGGGACCAGATTCAGGGCCTATGGAAACTTCCCTTAGAGTCTGAAGGCTTTAAGCGTAGAGGGACTCAGGTTCTAGGGTTTGAGGGCTTTAGGGTTACAGGGCTTAGGGCTATTCGGGATTGTAGGGGCTTTAGGGTTTTTAGGGGTTTTAGGGCTTTTAGGGTTTTAGGGTTCTCAGGGTCTAAACCCCAGACCCCGGACCCTAAACTTCAGGATTTTTTGGGTTTCGGGATTAGGGTTGATATTGTCCTGTTCCGTTTCGATACCCGGGCCAAGCTCCAAGAACGCGACTGCTTGAGACCTAAAGCTAGGTAGGGTGTTAAGTAGGATACATCTGGTTCATCCCTAAACCCTGGACCCTAAACCCTAAATAAGAGGAGGGTAGTAGTTCTGTGGGCTGTTCTGGTTACCCTAGTGCACTAAGGGCTCGTTTTGCCCCAGGATGAACTGCAGACTCTCACTTTTAACATTCCCCTTGGGGGGGGGGGGGGGTTCCGAAAATATGGGTACAGGTACCCGTTTTTGGTCCCTGTAACAGGATTCTATTCTACACAAGGGTACCCCTGTTTTGGAAAAATGCCCATATGAACCTTGCGAATCTAACCCCCACGTCGTCAAGCCATTCCCAATTTTGACAAAATATTGGCTGCATCATTTAAGGCATGGGCATTTCCTAGACCCAAAGCCAAGAAAACACCAAGTAGAACGAAATGACGTAGGGTTTAGGGTTGAGGGTTTAGAGCTCAGGGCTCAGGCTCCTTTTCTACAAAACTCAAGGTGCAGGTTTAGGCTCAAGGGCTGTTTACCATTTGCGGTCCTTACTACGACGTAGAGTTCTGCCTAACTCTTCCGGAAGAAGAGGCTTGGGCTCCCTAGGGTGTAGGGTTTAGGGTTTAGGGTTTAGGGTTTAGGGTTAGGGTTTAGGGTTCAGGGTTCAGGGTTCAGGGTTCAGGGTTCAGGGTTCAGGGTTTAGGGTTCAGGGTTCAGGGTTCAGGGTTCAGGGTTCAGGGCTTAGGGTTTAGGGTTTAGGGTATAGGGCTGCGGGGCTGCTCAGACCCAGAGCTGCACCTGCCACCTCTGGTACACCGCATGGTTCCTGCCGCCCTTCTTCGAAGGGATGGGCTTGCCAATGCTGGAGCCTCCACACAACACAAGTAGCCCTAAACCCTAAACCCTAAACCCTAAACCCTGAACCCTGAACCCTAAACCCTAAACCCTAAACCCTAAACCCCAAACCCTGTACCTTGGGTTGATCAATATTCTGAGGGCCCCTATGCCCGAAGCCCCTACATACAAGCATATCTTCAGAGGTACCCGGAGAAGGGTTCGCTGGCACTCAACCCAGGGGAGCCACTTCCGGGGGGCTCTATGTTAGGGTTTAGGGTTTAGGGCTTAAGGTTTTGAGGATTGAGGGTTTAGGGTTTGGGGTTTAGGGTTTAGGGTTCTGAGGAGTGAGGGGTTTAGAGTTTGGGGTCTTACGGTGTTTGGTTCTGCAGCCAAGCGTGAGTGCTCGAGGGCAGCCGCTTTGGTGGCCACTCTGGCACTGACGAGCCCGAAGAAGAACAGACTCCACCGCACCCAAAGAGCCCAGTACCCCTTAAGTAAGGAATATTCCTTAAATCATACTAAGGATTCCTATCTGGTTTAAGGAATATTGCTTAACTAAGGGGTTTTGGGCTCTCTGGGCACGACAAGATGCCCAACTTCTGGTGACCCACCTGGAGCCAAGTAAAGCGGCTTGGGA